TATATATATATATATACGTTTGGGAAAAGGACATGTGTATAGACTAAGAATTTTTGTGGGGTGGTTATTCATAATATATAGATATATATCATATAATAGATATATATTATATATATATGCATTTGTGTCTTTTATTTTGTATTGTTTTTTCAGCTTCTTTGCTTTTTTTTTAGAATTAACAGCAACGTCGGAGCCCCTCACATTACCTTTACGCTATTCATTTTTTGAATAGCAAAAATGGGAAGAAGTTTTAGAATTCAGAAGCGGCTTTTTTTTTTTCGTTTCCCGTCTCTGGCTCCACTTCCTCACTGGTCGCTGTGAATCCGCTGTGTATAGTCCTAGATGCTCTAGATCTCTTCGATCAGTCACATTGACTGGATATCACCCCTCTTGGGCGCATTCGTCGTTTTCAGCCATATTTTTTTTTATTTTCTCACACTCTTGGTGGTAGAACTATGTAGGTCAGATGGAGAGAGAAAAGAATACAAACCTTGCCGGACTGTGATGAGAATGTCTCTGTCTCTATGTGCCCACGTGCAATCCTTTCCGAATGGGGTCATCAGTAGGACGGCAAAGTGAACTCTAGTTTGGTGTGATTGTGACTGCAACAAGTACAAGAGCATAGTGTATTAAAAGAGCAACATTCGTCGACAAGTCGTGCAATTTGATCCGCGTTTTTGTATTGTTTTCGCTTGGATGTTGTTTGTCTAACGATTCTTTAATCGTATTTAATGCTCATCTTAGACCTTCTTCTTTTCTTTGTTTTTGTGTTTTTATCTAATTTACTTCTGGTCACACTCTGAACATAGTGGAAGGGTGTCGTTGCCCTGAACATATTTTTTTTCTTCATCTGAAGGGGAAGGTCGATCGGCATGCGGTTGCGTCTCAAAACTCCGATCATCATCTGTCATGTGAATGCGGCTGTCACTACAATGGCTGCGATGCGTCGGTGCATTCAGGGACGGCACTTACCCTCATGGAGATTGGGTGGTATGTTTGGTGCAGCAGCACACCACCAAGCTGCAGCGGTGCGGTGGGTAGCAACAGTGACTGCGGCGGCCGATACTCATGGCAGTGCAAGCGACTTTGTGGATTTGGATCTCGATAATTTGGAGGATATTCATTCAAAGCCAAGGGAAGAGCAACAGCCTGCCATTGGCGTCACTCGAGAAGAGGAGGCCCCTGATGAACAAGAGTATTCGCGGTTCCGTATCCCACTCGCCCACCCGCGACGTGGGCGACCAGAACCTCGGCCTAACAGCCGTAGCGTCATTTCCTCCAATGACGCCCTTTGCGTATCAGACGAAGATCACGGCGGCGGTATTGCAGGTGCTCAGCATTCATCTACTGGAGACGTTGGTGATCAGGATGTTTCTCTCCCTTACGATGACGAGGTATTTGCAGAAATGTTGCTTGAAATGGAGGTGGAGGGTGCCATTGATGAAGCATGGCAGGACGCGCGGAAGGCGCACATGGAAGATGTCGTGGAGCTCGTCGAGGTGCTGCGATCGCTTAAGGTTCGCGACGTTTGTGCCATTGATGTCTCTGCAAAAACCGGTAATTTTGATTACATGATTTTCGGGACGTGTGAAGGCCCGCGACACATTCATTTATCGGCGTGGGCTGTGCAGGAGGCTGACTCGTTGAAGCGGGTCTCCAAGATCAGGCGCAAGCAGACCGATCACACGTGGGAAGTTGTGACCGTTGGGCGCATCATCGTGAATCTAATGCAGGACTCCCTTCGGGAGGAGCTTTCACTGGAGCGCAAATGGGCAGTCACGAAGTCGATGGACCCGCTCGCCATGGCTAACGCTCCAGTGAGTGAAGGGAGGCAGGTGAGGGCGCATGGTTTGTGGACGCTGACGCTAAACTTGCAAGATCTGGAGGACTTTGAGGTGGACTATTGTAAGGATGTGTTGATGCGGCAGCTGTAGCCACGCACGTCCTTGTTTGATTGTGTTTGTGTGTGTGTGTGTGTGCTGTATTTCTCTCTTCGCTTGATGCCAAGTGTAGAAAGGGTGGTTATGGAGGCGGCGGCTGGCATATCGCGTGGTTCGGTGTCAAAGGATCGACTGATGCTCCTGTGACGAAATAAGAAGAGAAAAAGAAAGAAAAATTGGTTTGGAAAATGATCAGACGATCTGTACTTTTGGTTCTGCCTCTTGTGTTGGCGTCCATGTATCTAGTGTGATTCTCTATTCTTTTGTTCATTCTTTCTTTCTTTTTCTTACCTTCTCTCTCTCTCTCTCTGTGTGTGTGTGTATTTGAATCCATGCAAAGCTAAGAATAGGGGCAGCAAGCGGAGCCCCTACCTTCACTCCCCTTTTGGTCGAGCCACGCGTCTCTTGTTAAGAGGTGGCGGTGATGGCTGTGGCACTCAGACAGCTGCGGGAAAACGCCTCCCTCGATGTTGTGGTGAAGCCTGACAGTCTGACAAGGCAGTCAGATAGCATTCGCTCAATTAGCCGCATTCGCAGTGAGACAGTGCAAAAAAGGAGCGAGATTCAACGTCTCACTGTGCTCTTACGTCGTGATGAGGATAAAGTTCGGTTGAGGCAGGCACGTTTGGATAGACTTCTAAAGGAAAAAGCCAACTGGGAAAAGGAAGTGGATGCCGTTGTCCCTCTTTTGCCGGGCTCTAAGGATGTATCGGAACTCAAGACACGACTAATCACGGCTCGTGAGTGTGGACTGAAGGCCGCAAACAAGGTCAATGACGCCGATGCATTCCTCACACTCGCTGCCGAAGCACTACAGGGGAGAGATCGCGGTGAGGCAAAACAAAGGCGGGATTATCTGGAAATGAAGCAGTCCATCAATTCTCTCTCAAGAGAAATTCTTCGCTTGAGGAAACACCTGGGAAGGTTGAACAAAAATGTAAAAGACGTGGATGTAAAAAGTAGATCACCAAGCCTACCTAACACAGTGGGGAGTTTCAGTATTCGTCTTGAAAGTCCAAGTGAGGTTGAGAAACTAAAGGATGAAAAAAAAAGGCTCAAGGAGCAGATGAGGGAAGCGAATGAAGCCTACCTCAAGGCAGCTCAGCGAGAAGCACAGGTTGTAACTCTGCTCACATCTCTGGAGAGGCGGGCGATGAAAACAACGCCACTGTTGAGGTCGTCGTTGGGGCCAAAACAGGGAAATGAAATAGCAAATGATGCTGGTGAGAAAAATGACGTTTCTTTTGCGTCACCACCCGAGGCGGGTCACTTGCTCGCCGTTTCAGTGAGCCATCCGATGGCAGCAGGAATCGAAGCCTCTGTGCACCCGCGAAAAAGTGGGGAGAATTCCTCATTTCATGATTCTGTGGGAAGAACGAATCGTCAGCGAAGAGCTGTGTCTTTCATACCTAAGGATGGGGTTGGGTCGGGGGACTATTCTGAACGAGAAATGTTGGCGCTAGAGGTTGAGCGATTGGCCGCGCAGTACGCACATCTGAAACGAAGAGTTGGGAAGATGCGAAAGAGCCTTGCGTAGGTGTCCGAAGGAACGGTGGATTTTCCCCCTTTACCCTCCTCTCCCCAGGAATCATAATTGCGTTCTATCTCCTCTGTGATTTCTCCCCCTCCCCCACAGTTTTGTGGCTTCTTTATGCACAACACATCCCTGTGGCATTTGTTGTTGGTAGGGGGGGATATGGCTCTCTTTTTTTTTTGGTTTATATGTTACGTTCCTTCCTTAATCCGCCCCCTCGCACCCGAATCACTCTTTCTTTGGTTGTTTTTCTCTCCTTTGTTTCGCTTCACCTGCGGGGAAGTGTAATATATATATATATATATATCCTTCCTTTATTGAGTTGTATTTACATAATCTGCGCAGCTGTCGTGCAGAAAGTATATAGTGATATAAAAAGAAGACGAAAAGAAAGGGGGAGATCTTGAATTTAGCTTTATATCTTCAATTGCTTCTGTAGATGAGCGATCTCTGGTGTGTCTTTACAGAGAAGCTGAAGGCCGCAGGGTACACTCTAGATGACTTGACCGGCAACGACAGTTTATTCCAACTTGTCGCGGAGGAGATTTGCAACTTCACCCCTCAACAAGTGGGCGAGCTTCAGAAGGAATGGCGGTTGTACAAAATACGCAAAGCAGATGTAGGAAGAGGCGGTGTGGCTCGGTTAAGCAGTGCAGTGGAGGTTATGAGGCATAGTCCCTCAGCGGATGTCCCTACAGCTTCGCTGAGTGCCTTCAATGTCTACCCAACAGCTGTTGTACTCTCGCGTGCCAGTATATTCCTCTCTAATATGAGCGAAGGTGGGGCGCAAATGTTACCCTCAACAGTTAAGGAGATCCCCGCTACGCGTAAGATTGTTCAAGCTTTCCGCGAGCGATTGGCCACACTACATAGACCCACAGGAGGTGTTGAACTCATGTGGAAGTTATGTAGCCCAAAGACTCTGGCTAACATCAAAGAGGGACGTTTATTTGAGATGGCGGATGATAGGGACGCGCTTTGCTCTAGTGGCATTGTCCTTTACCGTGATAATGGAATTGCGGTGCACACTCTCGAGGATCGGCCAGCAGAACTTATACGCCGCGGCTGGTGTCTTGTTGCCTTTGACGCCGCGGTTGGCAAGTCACGTCGCCTAGGGGAAGATGAAGTCCGACTTTTGCAGCATTTTCCAATAGAAGAGTGCTTCAAGTCTCTAAACAATGATGGGTACGACAGTATTCGTGTGGCTTCTTGTGGTGCCTTTGTATTTTTTCACTTTCATCAGTTTGTCCCGCGGTTTATTGTGACTATCGAAGGATGTGATGCTCGTCAGCTGAACTACTCCAATGTAACAGATGGCACGGACTCTTCAAGGACAAGCAAGACTCAAAAGTTACAACGGCAGGACGATCCCAAGAAAGACTTTGGAAGAGTAAGAGAAGAAGCAAATAGGCAACGTGGTGCGATTGGCTCTCCACAGAAGCCATCCACTAATTTCAATCATGATTTGATTGTGAACTGTCCCAAACACCTGGGTAAGGAGGTGGAATTTTGGTGCCCAGATGAGAAAAAACTCTTGTGCAGTCATTGTCTTTTTTATGAGGGTTATACCAAAGAAAATTGCATGTTGCTGGCTGATGCAGTGCAGCATGAGGCACAAAGACTGGAGATGTGGGTCCAAAATGCTGTGACGTTTACAAATGAAGTTGGCACTGTGACGGAGCTTTTTCGTTCTGCCGAAAGGGATATCGAGAGATGCGAACAAGAACGGATTGAAGAGTTGCGTGAAGAATTTAAACGCATACATGCGAAGTTGAACACTTTAGAAGGAGAGCTCCTTGCACAGGTGGAGGGCAGGAGCGCACGGCAACGGCAAACCTTGGAAAACTGTTTTGGCGATGTCAAAGCGACGGTTGAAAAGGTTAAGGAGCTTATTGGTGACGCCCAAGGTCCCCTTTCTAAATATCGTCAAGGGGTTATCGACCAAGAGTCCGCAGCAGCCTTTTTACGCGTGACGCAGTCCGCGTTTGGCGAATGGCGTGCAGTACCCATTCCAATTTACACGGTGGTGAGCGGATGGGGGCGGAATCTTTTCAAGGAGTTGGAGAATGCCCTGGGGCCCGTTTCTGCCATCGAAAGCGCGGGGCAAGTGGAGTTGCCGGAGGCCATTGATGTCAATTACCTCAAAAATTAGGAACGGGAGGCCAGGGCCTGACCGCCTTGTTCCCCC